AACCCTTGGTTTAGTAGAGGACCAGCAAGTTAAAGCATAGATTGTAATAGAAGCATGTACAAGGTTCATATGTCTTCTGAAGCTTCAGAGGAACATTTTAATGCTCAAAGAGAGCTTCTTTTTAAAGTCAAATCATCATCACTCTTATACTCAAAACCCTCCCTTGGCTTTGCATTTCTGAGTAAAGACCCGAGTCCTTGCAGAGTCTTTAAGTCCCCACCCCTCTGTCCCATTCACAGCTACTCTCATTCTTGATCCATCTATTCCAACCACATTGATTTCCTTGTTATTCCTGCAACATGGTCAGACATGCTCCAACATTTAGGCTTTTGCACTTGCTTCTTCCTCTACTTTGGAACATTCTCCAGATAATCCAAAAAACTTGCCTTTTCTCTTCCTTGGCTTAAATGAAACCTTATTATGAGGTCTTCCCTAATATGATAACTCATTTTGCCTCCCATTACTTTCTATCCTCTCACCTTGCTTAATTTTTTTTGCAGCATATATATTTGATATCTTCTACATTCTTTTATTTATATATTGTCTGTCACCCTAAGATGTAAGCTTCCAAGGCAGGGATTTGTGCTTTGTTTCCTCACTGCTCTCACTCACACCTAGAACAGTGTCTAGCAAATTGAAACTGCTTAAGAAATGCAAATGAATTCTGCCAGGGAAAGGGAGGTATGGACATATTCCCCAAAAAGTATTTTTCTCACAAATTTTCCTTCTCCTTTCATTACCCGCAGTGCTGAAAATTATAGCCTTTCTTGTTCATCACTCATGATTTAGACATTATATTTGTTTGTTTTTAAGTTTTGCTTAGACTACAATATCTGTACCTATCGTGCTTTCCTTTTGACATAGTTTACCTTTTGATTTCTCTGTGGATATTTTGTGTTTTACATTCCCAGTCTGCTTTGAAGATTCTTTTGTTCAGCTAGGCTTTTCCAAATAGCTGGCTCAATACCATTTTTCTGGAATTGATATCAGCCTTCTTTCAGGCATTGCATAACCATCACTGGCTAGTAATTTTAGATCTTATTTCTGTTTATCCTTCTTTGGAACAGGCAATTAAAAAAGGAGGTAAAGATTAGTTGGGGGAAGATCCACTGGAAAATTAATGGAAGCAGAGCTAAGCCTAAACTTTCTTCAATTCTAGGTTGAAGATCAATAATAAATATATTATTATAACCATCTCATGTATTTTACTTGCCACAGTTTGAATATGTAAATCGGGTAGTTTGAATTTATTTATTTATTTATTTTTGCATTTGTGGTTAATTTTTTTGAACTAATTATTTTATTTTGTAGCTGACTTGAGCCAAGAGCCTTAGCGCTTATTCTATTAAAAGAACAAACAGAAACATCCAAAAGAAAGAAACTCAAACTCTCACTCCAGGACTTGTGAAGAATTTGTGGGAGGCAGAGTGGCATAATTCAGAGAATATTAAATTTGAGACATCAAGGAACCTCAATGACAGCTTGACACTGTCATTATATGTGTTTGTGTATATATTTCATTATACATACAAACGTATGTAAAACACATATATGATTTCATTATATATAGGTGTTGTTTTTTTTAAAGAAAATCACACACTCTATATATTTATTACCTGTTCTGAAAATGTAAAAAAGAATACAGACTTTCTGTCATTCTCAAATGAAACGGAAAAATGTCAAATCCATAAAGGTACAGAGTTGAAGTGCTCCTACTATTCTTCATTTTATTATTTTCTCAGACTTTATCAACTATGAAGTAATAATACTAAGATTTGGAAAATAATTGAAGTTGTAATTCTTTACTTAATAAACTGTGTAACTAGGAGATAGTATCATATGCTAACTCCGAGGAGCAGGACAAGGACAAATGTTTTTAAAACGAGCACCGAGATTATGTTGGGAAAGCAAAAAACAACCTAGGACATGTGATATACATGGCCAGATAAACTGCTCAGAATTAAGCAACTATATGCTGAAAAGCTCAGCAAGTGTCCTAAGGCCTGACTTTGCTGGCCTGATGCCCCTCTGCTAACCTTTTACTGCTTGCCCGGACTTACCTGAAGGCTGAGAGAGGGAGAAGGAGAAACTCATATCAACCAGTAATCCACTTGTTAGCAGTTTTAACACATTTACTGAGGAAGAGGTTTGAAATAACTAGGTGAAAGTGTTTTGTGTGTGTTACTTATGTTTTTCAAATATTGTATTATTCCAGATCTTCAAATCCATACATGTTAGGCTATGACTATAGTAGTTAGACAAGGGGCAAGCCCAGTTTACCTGGAAGCTAATTCATTTGTGTTAATCATTCTGATGATATTAGATCACTAGTGAAAAGAGCCTCCTTCAGGCAAATAAGAAAAGAAGAGAATACGCAAAGACAGATGTGCATTTGCCTGAATTAAACTACAATCATCTCCCTGAACTGAGAGCCCTGGAAGGCATAGGTATGTTTGCAATGCTTTTACCTTGTCAGCCCTTTTGTGTGCATTGTTTAAAACGTATGTTAGGTGAACAGAATATCCAAAACGCATACATGTATGTTAAATGAACAGAATATAAAAAACTCATACATGTATGTTAAATGAACAGAATATCAAAAACCCATACATGTATGTTAAATGAACAGAATATAAAAAACTCATAGTAATTTTACATTTTTATATATGAAAATATGTTCAGACTTATGTGCAATAAGTAATACATACAAAGGGACAGATACAGAATGTGAAAAACTAACAAAAATGTCTATTTTTTTCACTGTGCTTTATGGTTATTTTTGTGCAGCTCGAAATTCCAGGCTAATGAGGAAAGAGAACAAAAACCTTTCAGAATCTCAAATTCCTTCTCTGGCCGCTATTGACTTGCATGCCTCCAGTGTTACACTGCATCAGGTACAGAAATACTCTGTAGGTTGTGTGGAGCTCCGGTTTCTCTCATATTTCCTGTTCAAGTTTCTTAGGGAGAGTTTGCTCTTAAGGATTGGGAAGGTTTATTGGTGAGATCTATACAATTTTGCTTGTTAAATTGTATATATTGGTTCATTGAACTTAGTACCTCTATGACATATCCTATATAATAAAACCCTAATATGCAAATCAACAGAACAGCAGAACACCAGTGGCTATGATGCACACTGCCGCCCCCCCCCCCCTCCCACTGCAGAGGGAAGTGGCCGGCAGTGGTGATCGGGGGGCGGGGCCGGCCGGAGGGTGCCAGCGGGCGCCTCCCCACCCCCATCACCCTGCTTTCCAGTTGCCCCACAGATGGCCCTGATCGCTGGCCAGGCCTAGGGACTCTGCCCTATATATTGGGAACAGTCTCTTAGATTTAAAAATTAAAACCTGGCAAGGCTACTCTAACACTGAAAAAACAGGATGATACAGCAATGACATGCATGGACTCTGGCTTGCACATTTTGTGGTCAGCCCTGATTCTGACACTTATAACTGTGTGACAAAGCCAATTACTTAACTTCTCTCTGCTTCAGTTTTTCCACCCATAAGATGGGGAAAATGGTACCACTGCCTCAGAAGGATCATGTTATGTACTACTTTTTATAATCAGGGGAAAAAAATGAAATGTAGCTGCCCATACAGCAACAAGATGCCTTTCACCTGTATGAAAAGTATGGTCACTGGTGCATGCAGTGTCCCAGATTGTGAGAGGGATGTTTGACTGCTGGTTTAAGCCCAACAACCCCCGAGGGGTGTCAGATTGTGAGAGAGCACAGGCCCGCCCCCCGCCCCAATTTCATGCACCAGGCCTCTAGTATGTTTATATTAACATTTCGCAGCTTACAGTAATCAATGTTTTATGATTAAATGTGTGTGTGTGTGTGTGTGTGTGTGTGTGTGTGTGTATGTGTGTAGCCTAGTTATGGCTTTATATAACTACAGGTTTTGTTGTAGCTTATAGTATTTCACTGCATTAGCACCAAAATTATAATCTATCTTTCAAAGTGTAAAACTCTGAAACTGTTTTTATTCTTTTAAAATGTATTGTCTGACACTTTTCCCCAAGATGATCCACTTTATCCATGTTAAAGATTTGTTATTACTACAGTCATCTTTTTTTATAATTTCTCTTAGCTCTTAAGACTATTTATGTTTCTGCTACTTTTATATGAAAACATATCAGTCATATCGCTCATTTTCACATTGAGAAAACCGTCAAATTTTTAAAGCCCCTGAGCCAACCATAACTCGCTACAAACTTTGGATATGTATCATTGTACTTCACTTTTACTTTTTCAGATTTCTCACCTTTACTTGATGCTTGGAAACTTTTGTTTTAGAATGAAATTCTCCAGCCTCATTGTTTAAGCATTTCCATTTAATTTAATAGAGAAACTGTATGTTGCTTCTTTGTCGATGTGAATACTCTTTTCTCCTTAACTATGTTACTCCTTAAATAATTTTGTAGAGCTCTCTAAACAAGGGGAATAATATTGTTGAGGATAAATTACAGAGGCAGTTACCCAGTGATACTGAGAAAAAAGTTTATTGATTGCTGTTGCTTTGCCTTATCTCTTGCTGACAATTTCTATAGCAACATTATTAAAACTAAAATTCCTGTTGTATGAAGATGAATCACTGTCACAGATTTAATATCTGGTAACTATAGAGTCTCAATAAATTCCTTTTATACTTCTAAAGTTAAATTTAATGTGCATTTTAAAGGTGCAGAATTTTTTATTTGCTCTCTGAGAGTGCACTATGGTTCAAAAGCACTTTTCAGGGTTGACATAACCAAATCTAGTTTCAGCCAATGTAAGAAAAGGTCTTTATTTTTGTTTTGAACTAATCTTTTTTTTTAAATATGTTTTTACTGATTTTAGAGAGAGAGGAAGGGAGAGGGGTAGAGAGATAAAAACATTGATGGGAGAGAGAAACACCTATTGGCTGCTTCCTGCACGCCCCCTATTTGGTTTGGAGCCTTCAACCAGGGCATGTGCCTTTACTAGAAATTGCACTGTTTACCTCTTGGTTCAGGGGTTGATGCTCATCCACTCAGCTATGCCGGCCAGGCTGAACTAATTGTTTTATACATTTAAATTGGTTCTGCATTTTTAGTCTCAATTTACTTGCTTAATTTCCAGTTGTATTTAAACTACAATAAAGGGGAAAGTAGGTGTAACAAAAATCACAAATTAACAACAAAATAACATGAGCTTATGTATAGAAATCTGAAGGAAAGAGAAACACCAGAAGACTGAAAGCAAAAGACTTTCTGGTAGGCGCTGTGACTTGCCCTGCACTTACTTTATTATTAAGACTACATTGAACTATGTTTCATTTCTGTACATAACACAAAATTTTCACCTTTATAAAAGTCTATTTGTACTTTTTGGAAAAATCTGTAAGATGGATTTTTGTAAGTAAAGTGTTGCATAATCCCCCCCCGCCCACACACACACTTACACATGTTATGTACTTATACACACAACTACATGTTTTGTTTTTTTCCTGTAAGCATGGTTTTAGCTTTATCCCACAGATTTTGATGTGTTGTAGTTACATTATCATTCAGTCCAAACATTTTTTTATTTCCACGTAATTTCTTTTTTAACCCATGAATTACTTAGAAATGTTTGTTTAATGGTTAGATATTTGGGGTTCCCCTAGATATTTTGTTATTATCAATTTCTAATTTAATTCCATGTGGTTAGAGAATATACTTTGTATGAATTTGATCCTTTTAGAGTCATTGAGATGTGTTTTATAGCCCAGCATATGGTCTATATTGGTAAATTAAACTTGTTCCCTTGAAAATATGTGTATTTCTTAGTTGTTGGATATAATGTTCTATAAATGTGGAATTAAACTAAGGTGGTTGATAGTGTTGTTCAGATCTCCTATGTCCTTATGATTTTTTTGTTGTTCACTTCTATCAGTTACTGAAAGAGTGCTCTCAAAATCTTTTATGGTGATTGTGGAATTGTCTATTTATTCTCTTATATCTGTTTATTTTTGCTTCATGTATTTTAATCTCTTTTTAGTTACATGCACACTTAAATTGTATTGTCTTCCTGATATATGTCCCTTTTATTATTATGAGATGTCTCTCTTTAACTCTCATAGTACTCTGGGCCTTGAAGTCTATTTTGTCTGAGATCAAAATAGTCACTCCAGCCTACTTATACTTATGTTTCCATGGTATATCTTTTGTCTTTTCATTTACTTTCAACCTACCGGGTTTTTATAAAGTGTTCCTTTTGCCAAGAGCATATAAGTAGGATCTTTCCTTTGTATCCATTCTGTCAATCCCAATTCTTTTCATTGGAATGTGTGTTAGTTTTCTATTGCCGATAAAAATTACTCCAACTTAAAACAATATCCATTTATTATTCCACAGTTTCCATGGGCCAGGAGCCCGGGCCAAGCTGCTTCTCTCCTTCAGAGTCTCACAGGCCAACATCAAGATGTCAGCAGGGCTGCATTTCTTTCTGGAGGCTCTAGGGGAGAATCCGTTTCCAGGCTCGTTCAGGTTGTTGGCGGAATTCAGTTCCATGTCGTGTGGGACCTAAGTCTCCTTGTTGTCCCTGTTTTTTTGCTGGCTGATCCCCGGGGATAGTTCTCGTCTAGAGTCTACCCACATTCCCGGGAACCATGGCTTAGTTCCACCATCTTCAAAGACAGCAACATTAGCTGGATTTTTAAATTATTATTATTCTTTGAATCTCTCTTACCTCCTCTTCTGCCTCATATCTCTGACTCTTCTGCTTTTTTAAAAAATATATTTTATTGATTTTTTACAGCGAGGAAGGGAGAGGGATAGAGAGTTAGAAACATCGATGGGAGAGAAACATCGATCAGCTGCCTCCTGCACACTCCCCACTGGGGATGTGCCCGCAACCGAGGTACATGCCCTCGACCAGAATCAAACCTGGGACCCTTCAGTCCGCAGGCCGACGCTCTATCCACTGAGACAAACCGGTCAGGGCGTGACTCTTCTGCTTTTAAGGATGATGTGATTACATTGGGCCCACCAGGATAATCTCTCTACCCTAGGGTCAGCTGATTAGTAACATCGATTTCATGTGCAAAGTCCCTTCACACAGAAACTAAATTAGTTTGATTGACTAACCAGGGATAGGCATCTTAGGGGGATATCTTTAGAATTGTGACTAGCACTGAATATTTAGGCCATTAACATTTAATGTGATTATTCATATGTTTGGGTCTAGCTCTGTTTTATTTTTTTATTATTTGTTTCTTATTTGTTCCTCTGTTTTCCTTTTCCAGTCTTCTTTCATATTTGAGTATTGTTAGTGTTGACTTTTGGGGGACATCTCTTTGTATTATTTTTTTTAGCCATTGGTCTAGGGGTTACAGTATATATATATGTAAAACTTGTGCACACACACACACACACACACACACATACATATATATGTACATATATGTGTTTGTATGTGTAAATACTGTGTATATATATACACACACATACATATATATAATTTTTCACAGTCTACTTATAGCAAATATTAAGCCACTTATAAATGTAAAAACCTTGCAAATATATTTCCCTTCCCACCAACCTGAACTTTTTTTGAAAGAATTTTATTTATTTATTCTTACCCAAGGACGTACTTGGAGGGAGGAAGGGAGAGAGAGAGAAATATTGATATGAGAGAGAAACATCACTTGGTTGCCTTCCATGCGCGCTCCAACCGGGAACTGAACCCACAATCTAGGTAGGTAAGTGCCTTGACCGGTAATTGAACCAGTAACCTTTCAGTGCACAGGACGACACTCAATCAACTGAGCCACTATGGCTGGTCCACCAACTTGAACTTTATGTTAGAATTAATCATATATATTTTATTTACATACATTGAAAACTCCACTACACTGTCATACATTTTGCTTTAAGCAGTCATAAATATTTTAAACACTTTATGAGAAAAAAGTAGTCTTCTATATTTTCCTAGCTACTTACCATTTCTATTTTTTCTTTTTTCTTAAAGATTACAGTTTTATTTTATGGTATTTTCCTTCCACTGGAAAAACTTCCTTCTTGCAATTATTGCAGAGTAGGTCAGATGGTGATAAACTCTTAGTTTTCCTTCATTTGAGAATGACTTTATTTTGCTTTTGTTCCTAAAGTATATTTTTGTTGGATATAAAATTTGAGTTGGTAGGTTGTTTTAAATTTTTTTTTTCTCTCTCAGGACTATAAGGATGTTATTCCTCTTTTCTGATTTCTGTGATTTCTTGGGGGAAATTCTCAGGTACTTGAATAATTATTCTCCTGTATGTAATGTTTCATTTTTCTGTGGCTGCTTTTAAGATTTAATCTTTTGTGTTCATTAGGTTGAGTATAATATGTCTAGGCATAGTTTTTTTTTTTTTAATGTATCCTGTTTGGGGTTTTCTGAGCTTCTTAAATCTGTAAACTTATACCTAATTGGGGAAGTTTTTAGTCCTTATTTTTTCAAAGAAAAATTTTCCCGCCATAATCTCTTTTCTCCTTCTGAGATTCCAGTGACATATATTTTAGACCTTTTGGTATTTTCTCACAGGTTCCTGAGAATCTGTTCATGCTCATCAATCTTTTCTCTCTTTATTCTTAGGACTGGTTCATTTCTATTGATCTGTCGTAAAGTTTTTTAACACTCTACTTTGTCATTTGCATTCTGCTATTAAGCCCATCCAGTGAAGTTTAAAAATTTCAGTACTGTTTTTTAATTCTAAATATCTACTTAGTTCTGTTTTAGAGTTCTACTCTTCTACTAAGAATTCCTGTTCCTTCATTTCATTATGTTTTCTTTCATTTCATATACCATAGTTATAATGGCTACTTAAAAATAACTATGCACACACACATACACACACACACTATATATATATTCCAACATCTGGACCACCTCAGGATTGATATTTGTTGATTGACTTGATCACACTTTCCAGGATTTTTTTTTTTGCCCAGTATTTTTGGATTATATCTAGGACATAGTGGATATTATGTTGTGTAGCCTCAGGGTTCTATTACAATACTCTGGAAAATGTTGAATTTTTTGTTTTAGCAGGAAGTCACCCAAGTGTGGTTCACATTGTAAATTCTGCCTTAGCTTCTGTGAGGGGTGGTTCAAATATCAGTTCTCTAAGTCTTTCTGATCCTGGTTTGCACCTGACCTGAACTTGTGTAGTTCAGGAGACTTGTGCAAGTGATTCAAATCTCAGTGTAGTTCTCTGAGCCTTTGCTGTGCTGGTCTAAAGCTCTCCCATGTGCATATTTCAGGAGTTGGACTGAGACTTCTGAGGCTTATATACAGAATCAGAGGATCCCTTTTTCTAGTTCTCGTCCCTTCAGAATTACCCCCATCCTTTTTGGCGTGCAGGGATTCCTTTTCCTGGTTTCTCTATAAAGATGGGGTTTCTTCCAAACTTTGAGCCTACGGCACTTCCTTACTACTCTGGGACTAGGCAAAGCCACAGGAGGAAAAAACAAAATTGGAAACCTACCCCCACATGAAAGGCCACATCTTCAAATTTTGACTCCTCTCCTTAATCCATAGTGTTTTTTGTTGTTGTTGTTTTTTTTTTGTATTTTCCCCAAATGTTTCTTTGTTCGTTCTGATTGTTTGTTTTATAATAAGTAGGAGAGGGGGTTTGTAGTGGGTTTTCACTGCCCTGGCACATCCAAAGTATACTTTAATATATGTATCAACAAAGAGGTCAAAAAAATAACATCCTCTTACTTCATCTTCGGTGCAAGTAATTTGAGCTATGAATAGCTAATTTTAAACATCTGGCTATTGAACAACAAAAATTGGGGTTTTCAGGAAGTGGAACTTACAATGACTGGGAATCTGTAATGCTGGATTATGAATTTACAGGTACCAGGATCTCCCCTGACAGAGGACTCGGAGGCTGACTTACCTTGGATGGAACACCAGCACTGAATGTCAGTTTGGTTCTGAACGGGGTAGGTCTGCTTTCCCATATTTAAAGCTCTGTAGCCTTTTCTGGGAAATATTTTGTATATTTTTAAATACAATGTGAGAAAACAAGTGGGATAGACCTCTAGAAAGATTTTATGTAAAATATTTGGTGGCATGTATTCCCCCTGTGCTTTTAGATGCTGCTCTAGCGCTTGAGATGACATCCTCTTGGAACAAAAGTGCTGATATCCCAGGAGGAGATGTACATGGTTTTGATCATTTACTTCTGAACTGCCTGCATTTTCTGAGAAATGTTTTGCAGAAGGAAAGACAATGACTTCCAGGTGTTTCAAAAGAAGATTGGGCAAGTGTCCTCCCCAACTGTCACCCATCATCTTTGAAGTCCACTGATGCTATTTCAAGATAATCCAATGAAAGAATAGTGATATGGTTCTCGTTACATGAGTGTATATTTACTATTAGTAGGTTGTGTATTTAAAGGTACCCAAGATTAACAGTAAGTAAAAAAGGGGGGAAAGATTATAAAAGTTTATGTTACTTATGCATCGAACTTTGTGTGTTACTGCATTGATGTGTACATTTATTTAGGAATGTGTTTGTGAATGTGGGAGCTAAAAACTAGGATCAGTTGAAGAAAATGAAAAAACTAGGATCAGTAAAAAAAAAAATGTTTCCTTTACCCTAACCTAACTACAAAAACACATTTAAGAATCTTGCTTGTTTCTAGGCTTTAACAAGATATGTGACTGCTCTTTATGGATAGATGTATTTCTTTGGTTCCTGTGAGTATAGTTGATATTTGATCAGTGTATCATGGGAATCTGCCTCTCTGCTGATCTTCTAAGAACCACCCTAAATGCAAGTTTCGCAGAGAAACCTTTTTATTTCTAACGATTTGGATAGTTCTTTGCTCTGTATGATTCGGGGGCCGACGTTCCTGTGACCAGGAATGTGATTGGGACAAGAGTGGGAAAGGAGAATTCTGTAGGTCTACCTTGGAGTTGAATACTTCTCATTGACAAAAGAGGTGTATCTACAAAACCAGGAAATGGGAAGCAGGGTTACCAATTGACTATGGTCACTCTTCTGTGGGCTGAATCCTGCTGAACTCCCAGCCGAAGAGGCTTTGGGCAGGGGATGAACTTTGTTCTGGACTTTACTCCTATCTGCTGATAGTTTGAAGGTGATATTAAATAGAGTATCTTTCTAAAATCCCAGAGATATTCCTGTCTTCTTATTTCCTCAAACACCTAGGCCTTCCCAAAAGCTTTTAACCGAGGTGCAAAATTGTTAACCCACAGGACACACATGTTTCCTAATGCACTGGTCCTCAACGTTTAGGTGGGAGAGTTAAACCAATTTGGCTCTCGGTTTTTCGTTTCTGGGTTTCTAGTCAGGGTTTCTAGTCATGCTCTGCATTTACTGTTTTAGAGAATGATTGTTAAGGGGACCAGAATTTGTGTGGGGTTTTTTGCCTTAGTTTTTTCCAAAAGACATTGACTAGAACTTAGCCCAGGAATTTTACTAGCACTTTTCTCTATTACCTACCCTGTGGAGCTTAATATTAAAATTCTAATCATAGTTACTTGAGCCTCAAAAGAGTAGGATATTCAGGAGGCAAAATAAGGGGCTGCAATGTAAAAGTCTATGTAGGTGGCTCAATTAAACTTTGATCTTGATTTTGAAGCTCTATCTCTAATCTCTGACCAGGTGTTTGACTAGACGAGGTATGGCTAACATGCTGAACAAAGTTAGTGTATAGGCATTAATAGGCCTCAAATTAAAATATTATTATTTTTACTTTGAATTATGTTGTTAACAGCCACCACAGCATAAAAAGCAGACACTACTTAAAAGCCAAGTAGCTGTCTAGTTTATTTCAATGTTAATTTTATTTAAAGATTGGTGTGAAAATATCACCTCAATGTCTGAAGGTCTAGGATTAGACCTTTTTCATTCTATATTTGCTCTTGGTATCTTTTATCGATTAAAACATTTTGTGCACTTTAGAACTAAAGAACTAAAAACTATTTACTATAAGTCCAAGTTGAGACTTGAAGCTCATATCTGGTTAGAATCTTGGAAGAACTACTTGAAAAAGATTTTGCAAACTGGGGCTATAGACCCTGAACTAAAATAATCCTTCTTTTTTTTTTTCAATTTAAGGTTACTTTTTCTTTCCTTACAAAGGATATGATTAAGTCACATACTAATAGGAAATATGTATATGTACTAGTGGGAAAATGGGCTTGCTGTGTGTATGTATATTTTACAATTAATAAATATTATATGTTATTGAGCTCCATAGTTTTTATTTGCATTATTTAATTAATAAACTATAAACAATGTATAGGACACTGTATGGTATTTAACAAATATGTTGGAAATTATCAGTTAATTCTTTTTGGGAAAGTTAGGATATAGGGATGACAAGTTAATTTTCTTGTACAGCCAGTGATACAAGCCATCTGGTCATAAAGTAACATGTCTTGTAAAGACTACCTGGTAAAGGTGGTGACAGACCCAGGCTTAGAACCCGATTCTCCTGATTGAGAATCCCTTGCTGGGTTAGATTAGCTAACTTCCTATTGAAATGGAAGCATAGAAGATGTGTTGCCTTGTGTGACTCTCTCATTATTGGTTTCTTTATCTTAATTGCACTAAAATATAAGGCTGGATCTATAAGCAACTGTAAATCAGATTAGATTGAAAAATGTGACTGACTTATTTTCTGAGCCCTCCTCAATGTAACCGAGCCACTGACAGAGGATCCAAAATTCCAGGGTCACTGCTCCTAAAGCTTTAAGGCTAGTCCTAGTGTATTGGACCAAGTGGATTTTTCTCTATTGCTTTGTATTGTGTTTTTACATTAGAAATGGGCCCCTAACACTATGTGAGTGAAAAATTATGTTCTCGCATTGCTTTTTAAATGGTTTTATTTTTTCTTTTGATAGCTTTAGACATGAACTAATTTGAAAACGCAATGAACCTACAGTTTATCTGTTTCTTTAAAAAATATTCTTATTGATTTCAGAGAGGAAAGGATAAGGTGAAAGAGATAGAAACATCAATGATGAGAGATTATCATTGATTGGCTGCCTCCTGCAGGCCTCCCACTGGAATTGAGCCTGCAACCTGGGCTTGTGCCCTGACTGGGAATGGAACTGTGACCTCCTGGTTCATAGGTCGACACTCAACCATTGAGCCACACCAGCTGGACTGTTTTTTAACATGTCCTTCTGCGAAGTACTTGGCCCCAAATCTTGACATCACTCGTTATCACTTGCATGTAATTTGTGTGACTTGTGATTTAGATCTTTGTGTTTATAGATGTTTGGGGATGTCTGACATCGAATGTATTATACACTTGAGACATTTTCTTCACAAAACAAAAATCCATCCATAAAATGTCATGGTCTTTTGCTCTCAGTGAAATCCGCTCCCCTCCCCCGGCAGGTAGAGCCTTATTTAATCCTTCTTGTTCTGCTTTGTCATGCAGGGGCATCTCCAGTGGAAGTGAGGAAGGTTCTAACAAAACTTTGGAAAGTGTATTGTTGTCTAACATGAATGAAAACAAGAACCAGGAAAATGAAATAAAAATATCTCAGTGCAGCCTGTTTTCCTATCCATAGATTAGGGTAGGATCGCCTATCATTCAAGGGAGCAGGCTTTTATTGTCAGTTTATCTTCATTCATCTATCTCCTTCATTCATCTATCTGGAAGGTGATCTCTATTAATATTGCTGCTAGAATTAAAAACCATCTCTCCGCCCCATGGCAACAGTGTTTCACTTGGTTACTTCCCTGTGTTTAGCCTTCTTCCTTGGATTATCACTCCTTTTCTGATATGAATACATCCTTGTCTGTCTCCCACTAGACATATTTTGTAAGTAGAAACATCTGTTTATGAAGTTGCTCCTAGGCTCTCGCAGAAGTCAGGGCCAGATTCTGAAGGCACGTGTGCAAGAATAATACTCAGTGTCACTGCCCACTACATTTTCTGTGTTTCTGAAGATTGAGAACCACACTTTATTTATCTCTGTTCCGTACCATCTAGCAAAGCAATTCCTATGGGACAATAGTAATAATATTCCTACAAAGGTAGGAATGTTAGTCATATTTTACAGGCAAGGTAATAGGCTTACAAAGTTTAAGGAATTTACTCAGTGTCAGTTGCTCAATAAATGATAGAGCCATGCATGTTTGTTGAATCATGCATGGTCATGATGTTTAGATCTGGAATCAGTTAAAACATTTTTTGTTTAGATAATATAAACTTTGAGAGCTTAGACTCCTGGAGCTATACATGTCCTCATTCTCTTAAAAGAGGAAGAAATGCATTCCTCCAGCCACTAAACAAAACTTGACTCTGATTAAGCCAGATTTGGATACTGCTCGCCTTGAATCAAGCACTGTCGCCTGGGGAATGGCATGTTCGGATTAGCGTGGGCCTTTGTTAAATTCCTTTGTCTGAACTAATGGGCGCTAAAGGACATGGGGTTATGCTGATTGGCTCAGGCCAATCACAGCCTCCCCATGGAACACCTGGCTCCCTCAAAGCCCAGGGGGAAGAGAATGGATGCTGGCGAAACCATCCCAATGCTCACCAGAGGCGGACAGTTCGAAGCTGCAAAAGGTATGTTTCATTTTAGCTTTTGACTGATTCTTCTGAATTGTCCCCCAAGTGCTATGACAATTTACATTACCATCAACACTGTATGAGAAGGTCTATTTCCTATATTGGAACTATTTTAGATATTAATTTTATTTTCACCAATTTGATGGGTGAAAATTATTTTGCTTTAGTTTACACATTCTTGATTACTACTTAAGTTATATATACTTTCATACGTTTTTCTTATTACTGATTTATAGGCCATTTGAGTTCCTTCTTCTGTGAAGAAAGATATTAAAGGTCATTTCAGAAGCAGATTTTAGCTTGACTATTGGAGATATTCCTCTGTAGATGTGTCTCCTACCTCCTGAAAACAAAGGCAAACACCAGATTCAAATAATACAGTTTGCCTCAAACTATATTGTAGGATAAAAAAATTATTTTGTACTGGGAAATGCAACCTAGTCAGAGGAATGTAGTTTTAATTACATTTTTCTTCTTATTTCATCTTAAGTAAGGCGGTCAGGTCCCCTTTCTTCTGTTGGGTCCTGGAAGGAAAGAGGTTAGTGAGAGACAAGTGCTTCTCCCTCCTCTGGTAGAGGGATGAAGAAGTCAGTTCTGCTGGAATGGACAGAAATCAGTTAAGGAGAGTTCTGAAACACCTGAACTTGGGGGTGGCTGCAATTGGCCTTCCATCCATTTCCCTGGGATGACACCCTACTCCTTTGGCTCTGCCCAGGGCAGCCCAGTGCTGCCAAGCCATGCTCCAGGAGGTGGCGGTAAAGCCCCACTCACTGTAACCCTTCCCCTTCCCCAGGGGAAAAATGCTAAAAACCTGTGATGAATTTGACCTGAGGGGTATTTTCTGTTCCTTTTATCCATGCAATAAATAGCCTTCTTTTTCCATTTTTAAGGGCCCAATATTAAGGAGTGCTTAATCTATTTGAACTGCAGAGGTATAATTGACATATCAGATTATGTAAGTTAAAGGTGTACAATGTGGTGATTTGGTATATTAATGAATTGCAAAATGATAATCAGGATAGCATTAGC